GAACTCAGACCTATTGATTTAGATGCTTGAGAGCACCCATAGTCACCAGGCGGTTACTGTGCATTAAGATATTTTCTGTAAAGTATTTTCGCAAAAAAAAAAAAAAAGTATGAGCGAATCTAGCATTACCGCAAATTACATATCTTTTCGATAATTCAAATCTGACTTGCTCTAATTATAAATTGTGATTCATTTTTTTGTTTCGCATTCATTATTATTGCATTTCATATTTTTATTTTCTATTATACTTACAACAAATAAAAAGAATAATAAGGATCATAAGTTAAATATCTCAAGTAAAATAATTCGGATAAATAAACATTTATTTTATAGAATGTAAATTTTAAGAACATAGGTTTAACACAATTTTTCCTTTATCAATGTATAAAATCTATCGTTATCTGCACAATGTGTGCTCAGTGTAATTTTAAAAAAAATTTCACGTATTTTTGGGAAGAAAACGAATTCTAATACCGAAAAATCAGGATTAGTAAATGGAGTAATGGGTATGGTTGTTGATATATATGAATTAGGAACAATTAGTGCAGTACTTCGAGGTCATATTACCGTTGAGTAGTGTTCTGTAAGTGGTGTGGCATATTCCCAGCACGACCGACAAAAGGCTCGGGTAATAACACGTTTAACTGTGACTTATGTATGCACTGTACGTTAATTTTAGCACATATTGATAAGTAATAGTTATATTCTGGACAGTTGAATATAATTTATTTATCTCTTGCCATTTACATAACATAACTATCATGTGCTTTATTGGCAGGAACTGAGGAGAACAAAGTGAAAACTTTTCAAATCTTACTCTACGAAATTTTCGAAATGTCCGGTTTCCGGTTCAATTGATCCTGATTTAGGTTCGGCATCCAGAAATTGAACCAAAATTAGGTTCAACTGAAATCGTGGTTGAAGAAAATAACTGCAAACTTTTAGTAAGATATATTAACTAACTTTTAATAAAACATGCATTTTAATAAAAGCGTCTATCTGTTAGAAAATAAGAATTACCCAGTATCAAATATTATCATAAATAGGTCATCGTTTCGTTGCAAATATAATAAACTGTTATTTTTAGTTCAAATGCAAAATCGCATAAAAACTATATGCCCAAATAATTGCTTTGAGGAGTGAACTAAAAGAAAACGAAAAAGTTTAATGTTAAGTAATATTAGCTGGATCAGGGTCACAACAAGGTCATAATCCCGCCAATTTTTGTCGAGATTTTGTTTTTCGGGATTCTGTTTGTCGGAATTTTGACCCAGAACTCATATTAACCAACATAGTCTATAGCAAAATATGCACGTGGGTGACAGCGGTGACAGATTTGTGCCAATCACCCGTCATCGTTAGATACCCACGGTCATACTTTTAACCCTATCCAATAACAGATAGATTGTATAGCAGTAATTAAAAAACTATTCTATTTTTATATAGTTTACATACTTTTTTTCCTTTCATTTCTTTTTTTTTTTAGATGAGCTATCATTAAAATTAAGCCATAAAAAAAACAAGATGTAAAACTAGATAACGTAAACTATACAAATATAGAACTTTTTAATATAATCGTCAATTATTTAACAATACATTAATTAACGTTAATGATTTTTTTTATTAATAAAATTTTTAGTGATCTTGGAAAAATTAACCAATTCTGACTCGGACTTCCTGTATGAGATGCTTCTGCACACATGGATAATTAAATTTGCATAGTTTACACATTACGTAATTTTTATCGCAATGTTGTATGTCCCATAATTGGGAGAGCAATATTTGTGTACAACAAATTAGCTTTGGGCGCAGCATAAATTATGCGGGGTGAGTATTTTATTACCCCGCGATATAGATATGATCTGCAATATACTAAAAGGTTATTCTAAAACCGATTCTATTTAAAAAAAAAAAGTGTTTTTTATTAACTAAAAATAATAACAATTAGTTTTAAAAAAAACCTTTAAAATTTTCTTGCTAAGGTTATTCTAAGAATATCTTTAGAAGGCCAAATAATAACACAACCAATGATTGGTACCATAGAATTAAAAAAGAATTTTCCAATTGAAGATCTTTACCAAAAATAGAAATGATCTGCGTTACACGAATTTGAAAAATCCCTGACTGAAATAAAGTAATTCATTGATCAAGCAATAAAGTTAGAATGTCGTGAGAATAAGGAAAGTATGTAGTAATAGGAAGAAATGACAAAGTATTGCGTAAGGGCTGGTAATGAAGTAACAATCGACGAACAATGTAGTAATCAAGCTCTTGAATGAAATCATAAAGGATGTAACGGCTTTACTGTGGAGAAATGAGGTAATTTCTTTGTCGATCACGATGTGAAAAATTTTTGCGTAACAGTGGACAGATACGTATAATTAGTATTCATATTGCATTGTCATGTGAAAATATAAATTAATGGCGCCAATCAAAAATGTAAATAATGATGCATAACTTTTTTGTACCACTTGAAAAAAAACAGTAAATATCCTCCTTTACGCTCCGAATTATCTTTTGTGAAAATTTAGCAGAATTGCATCCTTTAATTCTTTCAAAATGATAAAATTACCGAATGAATGCCTTGAAGAAATATTTTATTGCCTTAGAACTTATCCTAGACATTTATTTTCAAGTCTTCTTGTAAACCGTCAATGGTGTAGAATTATTGTTCCAATATTATGGAGTGAACCATTAAAATACTGCGGTGACAGAAAACTTATAAACATATACCTTTTATCATTAAATGCTGAAGAAAAGGCACTATTAATTCCATTAAATGTATCACCTTCCAATAATCAAAAGCTCTTATTTAAATATACGTCTTATACTACATATATCAATAATTTTAATATGAAAAATGGAATCGTAAATTACCTCTATCGTAAGGATTATGAGTCTTATTATGATAATTATTTTAAAATATATGAAAAATATGATAATGTAGTTAAAACGGTCGAATATTTTTTAATTAAAATGTTGACACGAGCAAGTAAAAAGTTAAAGTATTTTAATTTCAGTGAAATCACTAGTAGCCGATTAGAGAAAATTTTAGAAGAATTTCTTTATAAAGGTGCCACTATTACTTCCTTAAAACTTTTTGACATTAAGCCTAGTATTAAAGCTATAAAAGAACTAGCAGATATTCTTTGTAAAAACGTCTATCTAATTTCATTGGAACTTGAGTGTTGCAGTCTTGGTTTTGAGGAATCGAAAATATTGGCAGAGGCTCTTTATGAAAATAAAACTTTATCCACCCTAGATCTTTCCGATAATAGTTTTGGTAATTATGGAGCGGAAGCGATTGCAAAAGCTCTTTATAAAAACACAACTTTAAAAACTTTAAGTTTTAATTCTAGCCAACTTGATTTTAGAAGTGGAGTTGTACTTGCAAGAGCACTCTACAACAATAGCTCTTTGACAAGTTTAAATCTTTATATTAATAATCTTGGAGTTGAAGGAGGCAAGGCATTAGCAGAATCTCTTTGCAGGAACACTACTCTAACCTCTCTGGATCTATATAATAATAAGCTTAGTTTTGAAGGAGTAAAAGCTATAGCAAAGGCGCTTCACAGGAATACCGGTTTAACTTCTCTGGATATTGGAAATAATGATATTGGTCTTGAAGGTGTAAAGGCAATAGCAGAAGCTCTTCATAAAAATACTTGTTTGACTTCATTGAATCTTATGTGGGATCAACTTGGTTTTGAAGAAGCCGAGATATTAGCTGAAGCTCTTTGCATAAACACTACTTTGACTTCCTTAAATCTTTCTTATAATGATCTTGGCACTGAAGGAGTAGATTCGATAGCAGAAGTCCTTTGTGTGAACAATACCTTAACTTCTTTAGATATTAGTTATAATCAGGTTTCTTTTGATGGAATCAAAGTGTTATCAGAAACTCTTTATAAAAATAGAACTTTATCTTCCTTAAATCTTAGTGGCAATTCTCTCACTTATAAATCAGTAAAAGCATTAGCAGATGCCCTTTACAAAAACACTACTATAACTAATTTAGTTCTTTCTAATAATAATCTTACTCTTAAAGAAGGGCAAGTATTAGCAGAAGTTCTTTACAAAAATGCCACTTTAACTTCATTAGACCTTAGTATTAATCTACTTGGTTATGGGGGAGTCAAAGTATTGGGGAAGCTCTTTGCAAAAACACTACTTTAACTAATTTAAATGTTTATGATAATAAGCTTAGCTTTAAAGAATGTAAAATAGTATCAAGAATTCTTTACAAAAATAATGCTTTAATTTCATTAAAGCTTATGTTAAATTATGATGTTTGAAATTTAGAATTTATATTAAACTATAATTTATACATGCGTCGTCAAAAATATAACGTAATAAAATGTATTATTTGAGGTGATATTAAATCAAATAATATTTGTATCTAAATCCTGGATAATTAAACATTTCAAAATCAAATAATTAGTAATTGAATTACTTTCATAAATTCTAAGGCACCTGATAAAAATTAGCCGAATGATTTTTCGGCCGATTCGGTTTAAATTATTTAATAGTTATATATTTTGATGTTATGTACGTACGCACATGAATACTTGTTTTAATGGACACTGTCACACCCGAATTACACCTCTTAATAGAAGTTCGAGGGACGTAATGGTTATAGTATGAAGACTATGACCTAATGACTTGGCAGAGAATAATGGCGTCGAATATACGACTTATCAAAGAGGATTTATAAGACTTTATCGAAAGAGGCAAAACGACTAATGTATATGAAGATACAAGTAGACGTATAACAGTTTATTTAATAAAGTTCTGAAATACTCGGGTATGAAGATACAATTACTCTTTGGGTTTGTGTAATGTCAGCAATTATTTTAAATTTAAGTCAATAGATGTATTAGTAAAAATTCTTAATAAGAATTTTAATTTGACTTTTTTGAATCTTAGTTTTAATAATTTGGATCTGAAAGAGTAAACTATTATTAAAAGCTCTTTATTAAACTACTATTCTACATTATTTTAATCTTTGTAGAGATTATATTGGCATTGAAGGAAGGAAGATGTTAGCAAGCTTTCTCCGGAAACCACCACGGTGACTTCTTTGAATCTTGGATATAATAACCCTAGTTTAGAGGGTAGAATATTATTAGCAGATGTATTTCGCAATAACACTACGCTGATT